AGAATTTTTGTTAAAATTTCGTAACGTTTTAGTTTCGGACTCCAACATATATCCCCAACCTTCTTTAAGCCCCCATCTTTGTGCGTTGTAGTGGAGCAATTGGGACATACACTGCACATTCAAAAATTCTAAGATGTGAAGTGTTTGGCTCTTGACCAAAAGTCAATTGTAATGGAGAGAATTTATGATAATTTGTTGCCTTATGCGCACAAGTGCTACTGCATGTAAAATAACATGCCCCCACATAGACACAGACAACTTTGTTCTTATTAGCAATGACCTAGCTATTAATTTCAGACGTTTAATCAATGATTCTGCTAGACCGTTCTGAGTATGAACATGCGCAACTGGATGTTCAACTGTTATACTAGTAGATATACAATAATCATTAAATGCCTGAGATGTAAACTCCCAAGCATTATCTAGACGGATTGTCTTTATAGTATAGTTTGAAAATTGTGCTTTCAATCTTATTATTTGAGCCAACATCTCACAAAAGACATGTTGCGAGTTGATAATAAACACACATGTGACTATCTTGTAGAAGCATCTATCAAGACCATATAATATTTTAAGGGTCCACAACATGTTAAATTGGTCCACATATATCACCCTGTATACGTTCCAGAAACACATGGGATTCAATTACAACCTTAACCGTTGATGGTTTAATGATCAACTTTCCTTGAGAACAAGAATCACAAGAGAATTCCTTTGATTGAAGGTTATTTGAGCTCTTTAAGGTGTGCCCTTGTGAATTCTCAATGATTTTGCACATCATATTAAATTTGGGATGACCCAACCGATCATATCAAATGATAAATCATTAAAATTAGTAAACCTTTTGTTTACTACGGCATGTGATTCAACTGTACCTATACTTGTATAGTACAACCCATAAGAAAATGCAGATAATTTTTCATGTACAATTTTCTTCTTTACATTAATTGTAGTAATGTAAAGGTATTCAACCTTTCCTTCATTAGCCATTTTGGCGAAAAGCTTTGAAACTTAATAAGTTTCTTTGAGACTTACTACAATATAATGTATTATCAATGTCCAATATTGTCCCTCCAGATAGTAATAAGGTCGATCTTCCAGATCCCTCAGTTAATTTTGTACTACCTGATATTGTGTTGACATATGCCATTTTCATAACCAAATTAGAAAAATATTTTTTTCTTTTAATATTGTATGCGTTGTAGCATTATCAAGAAGGCATACATCTCCATTACTCATCTTGAATCCAACTGACAACTGTGAATTTCTATTAGTTTTCATTAAAATAAAAATACATTAAAAGAAGTATGAAACAAAACTAACAACGTAAATTTAAATACTTCAACATGAAGAACATGATAACTAAAAAGCACATAAGTAAAATATTAACAGACTTCATTCCCCAACTAAAAGATTAAACATCAGTTTCGATCTCCAAAGAAGTCATCAACTTCCATATGAGTAATGTCACCAAGGCCATCAAAAACATCATCCTTTAAAGCCAAATTTGCTTCAATATTCTTATCATATTTTTGAGATGTTCCCGGCTTATCATCATCTTTAAGAGTCATATGTGACTCAGTTGGAAGATGAACCACCACTTTTATTTCCTTTCTTTTTAAAGGAATTTTGGTAGAGCTTAACAAAATGCTCATGTGTGCGACATTCATTCTTCCAATGGCCTTTCATGCCACAACGATGACAATTACTTTTTGAGGGGTTATTTTGAGAACTATTGTTGTTCTCCCTTTTATTATGACCACCACCTCGACGATTGATGTATCACCTGTTTTCTTTGTCACGCCCCATGTATTATTATAGCCTCGATGATCATCTCTTTTTACTTCAGATTGATCACGTGCTTCCACCATATTTGCTTTCGGTAGTGGAGCAGTTCCAGTGGGACGAGCTTCATGATTCTTCATCAAAAACATTATGTTGCTCAGCCACCAGGAGACATGAGATCAGTTTAGAGTATTTCTGAAAACTCTTTTCACGATATTGCTGCTGCAATATCACATTTGAGGCATGAAAAGTAGTAAGTGTCTTTTTCAACATATCCTCATCTTTTATAATCTCCCCACATAATTTCGATTGGGAGGTTATTCTGAATACAACAGAGTAATATTACATTACGGTCTTAAAATCTTGAAATCGTAAATGCATCCACTCATAACGAGCTCTTGGTAACACTGTTGCCTTTAGGTGGTCATATCTCCCCTTCAAATCATTCCACAATTCAAGTGGATCTTTTTCCGTCAGATGTTCAATATTCATGCCCTCATCAAGATGATAACAAAGGAAAATCATAGCCTTTGCCTTATCTTGTCTCGATGGTTCATTTCCCTGAATAATGGTGGCATGAAGACCTTTAGCATCTAAGTGAATCTCAACATCGAGTACCCATGAAAGACAATTCTTTTCAGAAATATCTAATGCCACAAACTCAAGTTTGGATAAATTCGACATAATGAAATTATGAGAGAATATGTGAATTAAATAAAAATATTTATATAATACCTTTGCAAGTAGCAACTTCGTGTTGATAACGTATTATAAAGAAAGCTCAGAATATTATAATAATAAGAAGAAGACAAAAATTATAAGTTAGAGGAGGGAACTTTTTTTATTCAAGTGTGTCTTTCAAATGGTGAGTGATTATCTATTTATAGTGTTGAGATACCACTCCAAAAGTCATCTAATTAATAGATACATAGTTATTTTGGAAGTTCTTATTATCTTGGAAGCACCTATAAATGAATCCAATTAATAGCATATAAATCTAATAAATAATCCACATATACTATACAATGGATTTATAATAGTTTAAATAAATGTTACTTGTACAACATAGATAATGAATAATTTAAAAGAATCTTCAATTTAAGTTGGATACTGGTAGCGAAGTAAAATATATTCATAAAAATTTGAGGGTCCGTTTGGTCATGCGATATGATATCATGATATGAAATTATGAAATGAGATTGAAGTTTTGTTTGGACATGCGATATGAAATTTTGATGTTGTGTATTTTCTCATAAACATAAAAATCTCATAAGTTGTAAAACTATTAAAATAATTCCAATTGTTTATTCAATCTTATCAAAGAAATAAAAATATATAAAATCGCATAATAAATTATTACAAAGCTTTTTATTTTCTCCATTTAATTAATTATTTCATCTTACTTTAATTTACTAAAAAAATTGAAAACAAATTGTAGTGTACTACTCTTTAATTTAATATAATTTCTCCCACATAGTAATACGTACAATTTCCTCACGTTGAACATAAATTGTAGTGTAACTAAATACTATTAACTTACACATAAAATATAAATGTTCACTTATTAAGACCATAAAATAAATTTATTAATGTGTTTGAAATTTTGACGTAAACCAAGGCCAAAATCGAGTATTATGTTGAATTTTGGAATGTACACTCGTCATATTTTTTTGTTGCATAAATGTTGGTGTCATCTTGCTAATTGCCCCGACAACTATTTTAACATACCGGTTAATTGTTTCAAGTGAATGTTGAAAAGTTTCACTTGTCGAGCGTTGAAATAAATATAAAACGGTAGAAGTAATAAATACAAAACAATTGGAGTAAAAGAAAATTTATTACTCAACAATCTGTTGGTATGAGTTAAAGTGACTATATGTTGGTGAAAATAATAAATTTTATATCGGTGATTTTTTTTAAAAAAAAGTAATGATGTGATTATAAATTTTATTTACATATGAAATAAATGGTTAGTAGATATAAATGTGGGATTGCATTCAACAATATATAAAATCGTGAATCAATTTTTGTTTTAAAATATCTCAAATCACGAGATGGAATAGCGTAAAATCACATATCCAAATGCTGATTCCATCTTACAATACCATATCGTGATATGATATTGCATGACTAAACGCCTACTAAAAATAAATGAGATGATGATAAGAATATAAAGGATATTTATCTTCGATTCAAACTTTTAAACAAATAACATAAAAATTAAAAGGTTACCACTTTACTTACTATATGTAAGAGGCTACCGGCTAGAAACACACAACTGTTGGTCAGCGCTTCTAGCCATTAACAAATCATTTACGAGGAATTTAGTTAATTATTATATAAATCTACTTTTTATTATGCTTGTATTGTTTGTACATTTCACTTTGAACATTGTATGGTTTAATAAAAATATTAGCTTTAATTCTTATTATGTCGTTGTATTGATAATGTATATGGTTGTAGTACTTTTTTAAACTTCATTGATGGACTTTGGTAATACATTGAATAATTGAGCCATTTTTGATGTTCAATGAGCTTTTTTTCTATAATATAAAACATAGAAACACTTTTAAAAAGTGAAAAAAAAATCCATTTAGTACTATTATATTGTCTCAAGTAATATTCAATGAGCTTTTAGATTAGTATCATATGGATTATAAGTAATGTATGATTGAGATTCATTTCAAATTTTACATTTACCAGAAAAGTTCAAAATAATAAAATAAAGCGGGACTTTAAATTAAGGGTGACAATAAGGTTTGAAAACTAAATAGTAGTGATCAAGTTATTTTAATTGAGTGGAAATGACAATTATGTCATTAACGATTTATTAGGAATGCGTGGAGCTTCCCTTAAGTTTTTAAATTGATACTTTGTTCCATTGCATTAAATAAAGGGTAAAGGGCAAAAGATTAACATTTAAATTGTAGATACACAAATTTTATTGGATTTAATTCATATAAAATTTGGATTAAATTCATGTTTATTTGGATTGAATGATTAAATTGGCTTTATAAATAAATAAGTTCATTTTAATTAAATTCAAGTTCAAGGTCCATTTCGCCTTAAAGCCCAAACTCATGCCACGTGTCACACTGACTAGATATCCAAGACAAGCAAGGTGACACCAAGTATCTAAATGAGGTGATAGTCTCAATCAAATGCAAGATTGCAATCACATTTCGCCAAGTGTCTAATTGACATCCTTTGACCAATCATACGTATTGATTTATATATATGTAAACAACTTACACTTCAATTAGTTAGTTACACTTCAATTAGTTAGTTATATAACAACTTACATTTCCATTAGTTAGTTGTAGATAGTTAGTTAATTGAGTTAGTAATGTGTATATATGTAGATATGTAGACTCATCTGTAAACTAATTTTACATTCATGGTTTTACACCATTCTCTATCAATATACATGTAAGAAGAAGTGCGATCCTCTTCTTCTTCACCTCTTCTTCTGGTTCTTCTTCTGTTTCTTCTTCAAGCTCCATCAATGGAGATATAGACAGACAGTTCATGGTTCTTTTATTCAACATGGTATCAGAGCGGGTGTAGATCACTGTTCTTCTTGTCAATTAAAGTTTCAAATCATATCTGAAGAAAATCGAGTTCATCTTACTATCGATTTCTGCGCTTATCTCTGAAGGTCTTGTTCTGTTTTTTGTCTTCTGTAATTGTTTCCTGTGAATCGATTTCATTATGGTTGAGATTACTTCTGGCCAAGTTTCCACATCAGGAACAGGAGGGAACACAATCGATATTAGTAACCCTCACTACATACATCCATCTGACAATCCAAGTCTGATCTTAGTTCCAGCATCTTTTGAAGGAATTGGTTATCGATCATGGCGACGAGCTGTAATGAGATCATTGTCTGTGAATAATAAATTAGGATTCATTACTGGAGAATTCAAACGCCC